CCTACACACACACACTCCATGATCATCACCCCTGCCAACACACACACGCACCATGATCATCACCCCTGCCTACATACACACGCACCATGATCATCACCCCTGCCTACACACACACGCACCATGATCATCACCCCTGCCAACACACACACGCACCATGATCATCACCCCTGCCTACACACACACACTCCATGATCATCACCCCTGCCAACACACACACACTCCATGATCATCACCCCTGCCTATGCACACACACACCATGATCATCACCCCTGCCTACACACACACACTCCATGATCATCACCCCTGCCTACACACACACACACTCCATGATCATCACCCCTGCCTACACACACACGCACCATGATCATCACCCCTGCCTACACACACACACTCCATGATCATCACCCCTGCCAACACACACACACTCCATGATCATCACCCCTGCCTATGCACACACACACCATGATCATCACCCCTGCCAACACACACACGCACCATGATCATCACCCCTGCCTACACACACACACTCCATGATCATCACCCCTGCCAACACACACACACTCCATGATCATCACCCCTGCCTATGCACACACACACCATGATCATCACCCCTGCCTACACACACACACTCCATGATCATCACCCCTGCCTACACACACACACACTCCATGATCATCACCCCTGCCTACACACACACGCACCATGATCATCACCCCTGCCTACATACACACGCACCATGATCATCACCCCTGCCTACACACACACGCACCATGATCATCACCCCTGCCTATGCACACACGCACCATGATCATCACCCCTGCCTACATACACACGCACCATGATCATCACCCCTGCCTACGCACACATGCACCATGATCATCACCCCTGCCTACATACACACGCACCATGATCATCACCCCTGCCTACATACACACGCACCATGATCATCACCCCTGCCTACGCACACACACACCATGATCATCACCCCTGCCTACACACACACGCACCATGATCATCACCCCCGCCAATGCACACACACACCATGATCATCACCCCTGCCTATGCACACACACCATGATCATCACCACCATGACCATCACCCCTGCCTACACACACACGCACCATGATCATCACCCCCGCCAATGCACACACGCACCATGATCATCACCCCTGCCTACACACACGCACCATGATCATCACCCCTGCCTACACACACACGCACCATGATCATCACCCCCGCCAATGCACACACGCACCATGATCATCACCCCTGCCTACACACACGCACCATGATCATCACCCCTGCCTACACACACACTCCAGACTTCTCTGCATCTCAATCATGGACATGCTGGAATTCTGTAGCAATTCTCTTTATAAATATCAACTGAGTCAACTGGACCATTTATTTCATTGGCTAAGACAGACTATTCATTTCATCCCATCTCTCTGTCAACCACCTCCTTGAAGACTAAGACTGGGGTTCTTTCTGACACTTAAAAAAAACACATTTGCTATTTCTGAAACATAAAATTTTCCTTTCGATCATAATTTAAACATAATTTCAAAAGTCAACTTGCTTAATCCCTATTGATTTTCTCCATTCGAAAGTACGAAAAGGATTGCACAAAAGTATGTCAACATGTAAATGATGCTTTAGAAAGGATTTTAAATATTTCATATTACAAATACATTTAGGAAGCTAAGGATAAAACCAACAACCCTAACAACACAACCAGAGACCACCCTACGGGTTTAAAATGTGAAACACACACATACATAAAACATAGTTACTCTATATAGTTAGAGTCAGGAAAAATATAGTTCATCTACATTTTCTTGGTTTAACGAAACCAAAACAAGTTAAAAGCAACTTGGGAATGTGTTATCGGTGGAAGTAGAGTTCTTGGGGTGCTGTGAGGAAGAGAATTTCCTGGGGCCCCCACGAGAGGATGGGGTTTCATGGAAAGCTTTACTGATGATGTGAAATTAAGAGGTTTCCCCTCCAACGTCCCATCTTTGTCCATCTCACCATGGAATAATTTCAATCTTTTCTTCAGCAGGGCCAGAATTAAGACCACTGCCCAGAATTTCTGTTCCATATTAAAGCACAGTCCAGTCCAGCACCTGGCGAGCTTAGCTCGTGTTCCCAGCTGCAGTCCATTGCATGCGGGGTCTGCACAGCCATGGGCCGTGCAGCTGCTTAAGCCACATGGCTTTGGAGAGAGAACAGGTGAGCACATGGGTAAGAGTGGGTCACGGAGCAAGAGAGAAGGAACTCTTTGTCTGGGGATTTTAACCAGGAGCGTCTTCAAACTACCCAATCAACCTTTCAAGATTTCATGCTTCTGATGGGGTCTACCCCCTAGCCAATCCTTTGTTCCCAGGGCTAGACTGACAGGCAAGCACCCTCCCTGCATCACCCCAACTTCACTGCGCATGTGCCCATCTCCGCCTTTGTTTGATCCCTTCCCCCAGTGATCTGCAGGGAATGGACTGGTGGTTCCCTGTAGCTTCCTGATGGAGCTGCCCAGGTGACCATGCTTATAATGTCTGGCCTCCCCTTTGCTCTCTTCCAATCATTAATATTAGTAACTAATTACAACAACTGTACTACAGAACACAACTAAGATCATGATATTATGTGCCAATGCCAATATCTTATAGGGAAGAAATTAGAGTATTTGACTTAATTATTATGGACAAAAAAAAAATGGGACCACATACTAAACCTAAAAAGCTCAGGGAAGACCTGCATGGTGGGCTCTACAAAGTCGAGAGACCAAAAGTAACCACATATGATGGTGTGAAGACAAAAATTCCCAAACAAAAGCTAGTCATGGAGGTAATAACGTCCTAGCTTCCTGTAGCTTCCTTGACAAAGGTCAGTCTTTACCTTAAGTGAGCCTGTCTATTGACTTTTTTGCATCTTTGATAACATACCTCTGAAATATCAGAGTAGTCTCCTTTGCCAGACCCCTCAGGGCACACCCACCAGAGCATGAGAAGATAGAACCCCTCACTGTTATCTTGTTGCCCACATGCCATCTCTATGTTATGTTAACTACCCTGTACCCACCAGGTGTGCCTCTCAGGTCTACTTTTTATCCATCTCAGAGATTTCCCCACTTTGCTTCTCCCGCCTCCCTAATCTACTACAGTGAATGTCATCTACTCCCCCACCACAGTGACACTGCCTCCTCTGATTCTAATGTACAAAATAAGCTGTGAAGCTCCCATTCTCTGCGGCATTTTCTCAATCCACTGAGACTCAGCTTCCTGGCAATTGTCAGTTTGACTCAAATAAACTCTCATAAGATTTTTTTTTTTTTAGGCTGGACATTCCTGTCAACAATACTTGCTACAACAAAGAGGAAAATAATTTTAAAAAGAAAAAAACAAAACCCTTTCACAAAGCAACATTCTCACTCCGTGTGCACTATGCAACAGTCTTTTCCTATTAAAGGAATAGAACAGAATTTCCAAGAGAATCCAACTGATCAGGCATAACACGTGAAACATTTCCTCGTAATTTTTCCTTATGAGATTAAGTACATCAAATGTAGTATTAGTCTCCCCAAAGAAGGATTTACTCAGTATTTCTTCACATTCAAGTCCCCAAACACCCACATGATACAGTGGTAACAGCTCTATTAGACACAGGGACACATCTGAGTGACTGTTACTCTGTAAAGCCACCTCCCTTCATTCCATTCCACTTCCCTTACATATGTAAATTATGGTGTCTGACAGGAGCCTGCCAACAGCCACCACAACCAAATTATCCTCCAGGGATATCAATCGGGCTTGTTATTCTTGTTTCAGCATAAAAAAAGGAGGAGAGGAAGCAGCAGCTATTTTCAAAAATTATAATTCCTCTTGATTAGATTTCTGACTCACAGCTAAATGTGTAGATCCTGAAATGCATTACCCTCTGCTTCGAAATGCTGGGCTCTTTTTTTTTTTTTTTGAGAGCCAAGATACCGTACAATGTTTCCAATACAAATTGCTTCAAGTAATATATGCCTAGTTTTGCTGGGAGCATTTGGTCAGATTCTAATATTCCCTCTTGGGAGCCCACACCAGCTTCTAGCAGCAGATCTAACTGCAGAACAGAATTTTAAACAACACAAAGGCCTACCTTCCAGCGGACACAGTTCTTTTTTCTCCTACTCTGAGGTTTGTCACATGATACACTTTGTATGATACTTATCACCTAAAATACAGCTTTCTATTAAGGTAATAAACTAATCACAACATAGATTCCTTTTCCCCCCAGCATTAAAATATACTGGTTTCTACCAAGGTTGAGCTGAAGCGGACCGCCTTGCTTAAGCTTGTGAATCACTGCGCAATCAATACGAATACACAGTATGTGCGCATTTCCATGGGCTGCAAATGTTAGTCGAGAAAATGCACATCAGAGGACTTGCTAACCCACCAGGCAGGATTATCCATGGGTGGAAAGTGTTCAACTGTCCTAGTTTTTCTTGATTGTAATAAATGTTTTTGTTTCTGTGGCCACTGAAAACTTGAAAGAGCACCCTCTGGTTTTTCTTTCATAAAAATGTGTGCCCATGATTTTATTCCAAACCTCAGGCAGATCTAACCCAGGGAAAGGAGAGGACGTGCTGCAATATTACACTCTTCGGATTGCATTAGGCTCAAAATATGAACCTCCAGGATGCATACTTGTCACATCAGCCCAAGCTGAAGGCACCCACCAGGAGAGTATGTCACTGTCCTGTTAGCAGCTGGAACCGACTCCCACAAAAGAGCCAAGCCTCCAGGTACCCTCTCCCTTTCTGCTTCCTAACCACTTCCCTTCTCAGAGGAGAGAGGCCATTTGACTAATTGTAAGCACCCTGACTATCCAACTATCTAAAACACTTGACGCATCCATAATGGTCAACGACAAGCAAAGGCACCCCACACAGGAGGCAGAGAATACAACAGGCAACCCTGGCACATCACTGATCAGCAAGACTCCTGATACTCACTAAAGGCAGCCACCGCCAGGGCCAGTGTCACAATGATGGAGAACCAGGAGACCCACAACGCCTTCTTTCTGTAGTTCTGGGCTTCGTGAGGTTTTAGTCGAGTGCTGCTTTCTAGTAAGCCTGACAAAAAGAAGGCGAAAAGGAATTTAGTCGTTTCCTTATTAAGAAATCCACAGCCAGAGCTACACTTTCTTATCCAAGGATTGCCAACTGCCAGCCCTTGGGCCAAGATGTGGTTTTACAATTAGGAGAGTTCACATGGAAATCGGGCCTTCTGGCATCTCTTGAAAAGATCAGAGGCTCTGGCAATACTGGGCATGTGTCCTCCGGGTAACAGCAGCTACTTCTTCTCTATGAGGCCTCTGCAGACCCTGACCTGCTATATGAACCCAGCCACTCCCCAGCCCGGGTTAGTTGGTTTGGCTTCCACAGGTGCCGTTGCTTCTAACAACACCCTTTCCGTAGGAAAACACCACCAATCCCCCACGTTTAGATAGCCGTTCAGGCTCCTCAACTGTGGGGATTGATTTGCATTGATCCACCTGCAAGGTCCCAACTGGCGAGATGAGTCATGTTATATAAATGCCCACATTGCTCCCTCTGTGACAGTTAACAGGAGAAGGATCATTTCTCTTTAACCGCCACCACCAAGAGCCACCAGACCTAAATTATGTGCCATTTTTCTTCTCTCCTCTTTCTGCTTTATAGTATCTATTCCTTTATACCAAGCATATGTCGAAGAATTCTTAGAATATTAAAATGGGATAGATCTGCTAAAACTGGAGGTAGCTTTCCAGACAGGCCATGTGTAAGAAAGGTTTGATTTCTGTGTCCTAGGCTTTCAACATTGAGAGCCCTTGACAACAGAAATTTGTGACTCCCAGGCAATGCCCGAGCTTCAAAGGCCTTGGGTTGAAGATTAAGACATTTTCACTATGAGCCCAATTTATATTTTTTTCTTCTCCTTTTAAAACAGATTATATATGGCTGTCTTTGTTGCAAAGAGAACCAAATTCTCCGTCAAGCATTCTACATAAAAGGAGCTTATGACACCATCTCTGGCTAGACAGCTGATCGCATACCATTCACAGGTGGGGCAGGCTCATCACAATAGCTCCAAAAGATGAAGAAATTGGTAGTCAAAGCTTAGGCACCATTTGCAAAATATTTCACAGTGTGTGACATATCACACCTATGCGTCACGTAAAAGGCATCACCTTATTAGGCCAAGTGGGTAGTACAATAAGCCTCCGGTCGCCAAAAACTGTGTCCTGTTAAAAATTATTTCAAGGACCCTGTTAAAACATCTTAGTTTCATTTACTACCCAGACTCGAGCACCCTGAACAAGTTCTGAACAAAACAAGAGGAAATATTGTGAGGTTGCTTAGGGACCCTAGTTTATAGCTCAAAGATTTTTAAAAAATTGAAACCTGTAGACTTACATAGGATTAAAAGATAGATAAAATTGCTAAAGGTAGGTTTAAACACCATCTCCCACACCTCACAGTAAAAGTCTCTCCAAACCTTCCTTAATAAATGATGCTCTTGGATGGAAAACAGAAAAACCTCTTGTTAAATTCTGCACCAGGTACAAGGGATTTCAAATTACAATCCCTTTGTCTACTTCTTTCTGTCCCTTTGTCTGCAGTTTCTCCAGCTGCCGAAAACTCCCCATTCTAATTTTCAACTATAATCACCCTGTGTCCAGTTAAAGCCACAACCTAGAATGAGCGCATTCCACATACTCCCAATAATTTATTTCCCTTTTCCCAAATGATATAAAAATCTTCCTTCCATCTTGGCAAATTGATTTTCAGAAGTGAAGCTGTAATATTTAAGTACTGACTCAAATAAGCAGTTCATTTGCTAGGTATTTTGACAGCAACAATCTGGAGAGGTTTATCTACTGGGGGTAAAAACAAGGTTCCTTTTAGAAGCAGATTTAATTTTCGAAGAGAAACGAAATGATCTGCATTTTCTATTCTGCCACATGGCATTTTCCTTCCAAAGTCAGCAGTTTCCAACAATTTGATTGACCACATAGATCAATCTACACGCCTCACCCGGCAGGGGGCCAGCACTCCCAAGACAGGGTTTGGGATCACAGACTGCACAGGCTAGACCGCCCTGCTAAGGAGAGGCATTTGGGCCCCCTAAACAGTAGGACTGATGGTTCTTCCCCAGGTCTGATCCTGTGTATACCTCTTGCATGAAATTTGTTAAGTTAAAAAACTGCACTAAATGCAATAGAAAGACTGTCCAAGACGGGAGGAACTTTTCCATTTCTATTCAACCTTTGTTATTTCCTACTAGTATTCCTCTCTAAAAATGTAGCCAATACCACAAATGGAAAACTTACTACTCCTTAAAGGGAAATGAAGTATAATTACCTATGAAGACCCAGTTCATAAATGGCTTGCACACAGGTGCCTCTATCTCTGCTCCCTGTTGGCTACATGCACACTTGTAAGGCACAGAAATGGGGAGAGAATTTCTGAAGTTTTCCAGAAGCTGAGCTTCCAAAGTAGAAAAAAGGCAGCATAACCTATAGAAGCTAAGGCAGACCTCAGATAGCTGGCCTCTGCATTCGAATTACTAATTTCACTCAAATTTCACATATTTGTGATTTGGGCCAAGCAATAGTAAGCATAAAGTTGTATTAATGAAGGACTGATACCTTATTATTTAAGCATGGGGGTGCAAATATAGGGTGTCCAAAAATATGTATACACACTTTGAATAATTATAAAGCCAGGTACCAGAATCTATAGACATTGTATATACATTTTTGGGGCAGCACCCTGTGTATATGGGGAGATTGAAGCTATCAGGCATTTCCATGCTAGTATGAATTAATTCTAATTATTTTCTCCTAAAGAATTACTCATCCTAGGATTCTCTGAAGGGGGATATTCATTAGATGGGAAGGCAGCGGGAAATGCTGACACACATTACTCAAGGCTAGGCTAGACCCTGAGGCTTGGAACAGAATGATGAGAAAACACTTGTGGAGAGAAGAGTGAATATTAAAAGGAAGACAGCGAAAATGCCTAAGATAAATGTGGCCTATATTTTGTGTATTTGGTCCCTAAAGGTCTCGGACCACAGAGCTCTTGCTCCCTGAACTACAAGGCTCAGCCAAATGGCACTGCAGTTGTTGACATTAGGAGCCAGATAGATTTGTGGAACCAGCTCACATCACTAAGGGAAAGATACCTCCAAATTCCCAAAATACTAGATTATAAAACAAGCCTTTGATCAGAGTTAAAAGCAGTCTGCAACAGAATCCTAATAGCTGAGAAGAAAGTTAGGATAAGAGAGAAAGCCAAATATAGGTACACATCCCGGGTACCCAACCCTCACATGTCCTGTAGTATTTAGGCCTAGAAGCAAGCAAGCCAGATGGAGAGATGCACAGCAGGCAACTGTTAGGGCTTCTTTCTCCCCAAATCCTCTCACCGTCAGGAAGAAGGCAGCAGCAATCGAACCATTCCCAAGGGATGTAAAAATCAATATTCGAAAGATGCCGCCCCATAAGGAAAAATAACACAAACACAAAATATTATGATAAACCTCCCCAGGTAAACTTCTGATTTATTTAATAAAGATGATGCATTCATCATTAACACTTTGCTGTCAGGAATAGATTAAACAAAAGAATGTCACACACTTCCAGCTTTCAATACCACCCAGCACGGGGTTCTTTGGGAGACAGGGTTCATCCTAACAGAGAGGCTGTGTGCAGTATACAAAGCTTTCACAAAGTAACAGTTTATGAACAGTGAATGCTTTCACGCTATAACATAATGGAAAATGAAATTCAGTAGGCCAGTGAAAAATAACCTTAAAAACGAATTTAGATGGGCTTTTTGCACTTGAGCATGAGCTACAAAATGATGCTAAATATCTACTTTCCCTACCACTTTCCTTTTGTGGGTTGGGGAGAAATAGGCCAGCTCATACAGATGAGCTGCAAGGCTGAAAAAATAAGCTCAGCCCAGAGTTGTCTTTCTTCAATATCAAATTTGTAAACTACAATATTAGTTGCAGAGAGAAAGGTAATTAACACATATAATAAAACCGACAGGTCTTGCTTGTTGGGTACTTGTGTTGTCACCAATCAACCCTAAAATGAAAGCCAGTTATGTGAGAATCGGAGGTGAAACTGCAAGGCAGGCACCGAACTCGTTGCACCTGGAGCGGCTCCAGTTCTCGCCGAGCTCCCTGCCGATGCTCAGGGAACTGCCGTTTCCGTGTCATTCCATTTCACAGGCTTACGGTTGAAATTTTCTAAGAAGGAAGAAATCGTGCATCTGCACACTAAACCGGAATGAAAATGTACAGGAGATACCAAGAATAGTACAGAAACCTGCTAAGACTAAAATATAGAAACCCGCCGCAGCCAACAAAAAAATTAGGCGTCCAAGAAAAGGAGGTGGAAGTGGCGACGAGCCAGCGCTCGGCGAAGGGCCTGGCTGCAGGAATCCCGCTTCGGCCAAGGTTTCGGCAGAGAGAACCGCTGAGTCTGTTTGAGGGGGTCGATTTGGACTTGGACTCGGCAAGAAGCAGAAAAGATGCAGACGTGGCCAAGAACGGGGCTTACGGACCGAGGGAGAGAAGGGTGTAAGAAGAGAGAGAGGCGAGAATGAGCAGGGGGTTCTCTCCCGTGTCAGGCGGGCAACTCCAAGGGGGCAGCCGGTCGGAAGACAGGGTTTGGCCTCTCGCGAAAGGGACGTTCGCGAGGTTCCAGGCCAGTGTCTTGGGAGCGATCATGAAGGAGGTGGGGACGAGCGCTCCGGGAACCACCAGGTTTCGGTGTCACTCATCCAGATGAGGTCGGTAGACCAAACCCAGGTGTCCCGGTCCTCTGCTCTCACCACCGGACACCCCACAGAGAACTGGGTGCCCAGTAAATGACGGCCGGGGCCGCCCGATTGCCCCGGCGGCCGCTGAGGACTCCTCGCGCCTAAAGCCCAGAGGGGCGTTATCCCGGGGCCGGCGGAGGCCGGAGAGCGCTCGGGAAAGCGGACGCACGGGGCGCAGTCCTCCCAGCTGAGCCGCGGCCGCAGTCCCCCTGGAGCGTTCGGCTCCGAAAGCAAAAAAACCGCCTCCCGCAAACTTTTCCACGGGGCGCGGAGGGGCCGGGGCCGGGGCCGGGGCTGGCCGAGAGGAGGGCGCGGGCCCCGGCGAGCTTCCCCTGCAGGCAGGCGGTTCTCGGCTCCGAGGCGGCGCCGCCCGCCGGAGGTGGGGCTGCCGCTCTCCGCGCCTTCGCTGGGAAGTCCCTGCTCCGCGCACGACCCAGCCCGCGAGTGGGGAGCGGCAGTTCCTCCCCGCCCCGCCGGCCAGGGGAAGGGGTCGGAGGGGAAAGGGGGCCGGGCGGCGTGCGCTCACCTCGGTCCTCCAGCCCATCGCTGAACTGGCCGCTCTGGCTCATCCGCAGCTGTTGCCCCTCCTCGGGCTGCGGCGGCTCGCGCGCGGGGGAGCTCAGCGGGCCGGGGGCAGCGGCCGAGGGCGCGTGGCGCCGGGGCCGCGGCGGGACGGCGGGGCCCGGGGGGCTGCGGTGCTCGCTGCCCGCGGCGGTGTCCATGGCGCGGGGCGGCGGATCCCAGCGGCAACGACGAGAGCGCCGGGGACTCGAGTCAGAAGTGCGAGGCGCCGCGGCTCTGAGCGGGCGGAGGGACGGACGGACGGACAGCGCCGACAGGGAGGGAGGACGGGCGCGGCGAAGTGGAGGTGCGCCCGCTGCAGTGGGGGGAGTTGGGGGGGCCGGGGGTGTCGAGGAGCCGCGCGGCCGGCGGCAGGGGCCGCGTAGTCGCCGCCGCGCTCCGCCCCTGGGGGCAGGTGCTGGAGGCAGGGACCCGCCCCAAGGCCCCAACGCCGGAACCCGCGCGCCGAGACCGGTGCGGAGAGAGGGGTTCGGCGGGGCCAGTCACCCCGAGGCACCAGGGAACTACTGAGGGCGCGGGGCGGCACCGGCTGGGCCTGGTGAGGGTGTGACGGAGACCTGCCCCGCCCGTGCAGCGCGGAGGTGCCCACAGGGGACGGAACCCTCTCGGGCCCGATTTCCTCTGCCGTCCGGGAAGCCAGCGGCCGCAGCGCCCTAATTTGGCATCTTTCTCCTCTGGAACTGCACAGGCTTCAGAGGCTGTGCTGAGTCTCTGCCTGGGCTGCCATGCTCAACGCCCATCCCGGGAAAACGAGGCTCACCTGCCCCCAAGCCCGTCTCTCCCGAGCCTTCCCTAGAGGCATTGGTTGCCCCCCAGTTGTTCTCGTCTGCACTAACTTGAGGGGACCGAGTAGCCTTGGGACCACTGGGCGCTCTAGAAGATGTCTGGATTCCAAAGCTCCCCCATTGCCACCGTCCCTGGGCCTTTGTCCCAGCCAGTGCCCCACCAGCTCGCTATCCTCTCTGGGTATTCAAGCCTCCCCCGGTTCTTCAGGACTCGGAGCCCCCGGTGGCTGTCCGGGGCGGCCGACTGTCTGCACCACTGACCGCACGGAGTCTCCGCAGCGAGGCAGCGACCTTGTCCACCCACGCCAGGGCCCGCACACGCTCTCCAGCAGCCCCAGGGGTGCGGAGGCTGACCTGCCACTAGTCAGATTTATCTTGAATTTAATGGTATCGACATTCAAACTATAGGGTTTAGATTTCACTTTTAAATCGAAATTTAAAATTTAGATCTCGTCTTTAAATGTAACGAGCTCTAAAATGCCAATTCCTTATTTAAAGCCTGCCTACTTTGAAGGGGAGGCCCCTGTTTTTTTGTAGAATAACCAGTTTCCTTTCTCATTCTCATTTTGCCTGGGATTGAAATCAGAATGGGATTTAAATGCCTTTGTGGCGTGGTGGAAACATCACTAGAAATGGGAAGAGGGTTTCATTTTATGTTAGATTGTTAGGTTGGAATGAGAAAATTTGAATTGACCTTGGCCAACTCACTTTACCTTTCTGACTACTGATTTCTTTAACTACAAACTGAAAAAGTTGGACTAGGTCATTTCAAAGGCACCTTCTTGCTAGGAAGAGTGTGAGAGGGCGCGACGTAAGAAAGAACGAAAAGAAAGAAAAATGCTATTACTTGGATTTAAGAAAACAAAACAAAAACCAAAGAACAATTCTACCTCCCAGTCTTTGTTCTGTCCTTGGAGGTACACAGACCTTCAGGTGTGTGTAGACACACACACACACCATCTCCTTGATCTCTCACAGGCTTTTTCCTCGGAGTTTTCCCACGTGATCCCTCTGTCAATGGCTGTCAAACATTAGAATCACCTGGGGCGGCCCTGGCCGGTTTGGCTCAGCGGTTAGAGCGTCGGCCTGCGGTCCTGAGAGACCCGGGTTCGGTTCCCGCTACGGGCACGTGCTTCGGTTGCAGTTTGTCCCCGGCCCTGGTTGGTCGGCCCTGGTTGGTCGTGCGGGTGGCAGCCACTCGATGTGTCCCTTCACGTCGATGTTTCTCTCTCTCTCTCCCTTCCTCTCTCTCCCTCCCACTCTATGTGTACAAAAAATAGAGATCCTGCATCGTAGGTGATGGAATTGGTCTGGCCTGGGACCTGGCATCAGTATTTTTATAAGCTCATTCCCCTTTCTAAAGTCATCTGGGAAGCTTTTATTTATTTGTTTGCTTGTTTAAGTGCTGACTCCTCCTTGCTTTGAGGTCCTGATTAAGTAGATCTGAAATCTGGATGGAAATCATTTGAATCTCTCTCTTTCTTGCATGTGCACACACACACACACACACACACACACACACAGATGCTGATGTAGATTGTTCCAGGGCCACCTAATTCTCACTACCTAACTACCCTCTATAATGTGAACTAGCATATCTCTCTCTCTCTCCCTCTCTCCCTCTTCCCCTCTTCCCCTTTCCCCCTCTCCCTACCAAAGTCTGTTCTTTCAAAGGAGCAAGTATCATTGTTCTTTCCTCTGGTTATCAATTAGTTCTCTCGTCCATCGCATCCAGACATGAATGTGCAAGTGAACACCCAGGATTCTTGTTAAAATGCAGATTCTAATTCAGTAGATCTTGGTTGGAGGCTGAGTTTTCTAAGAAACCTCCAGGTGCTGCTGATGCTCTGGTCTGAAGACCACACTTCGAGAAGGATCTAGGAGTCATTTATTATTCATGGATAAATATATTTTATCAAGTTCCAGATGTCCTGGTTCAATAAGCCATTCTTGTCTCCTCCGGAAAGATTTCTCTGACTCCAACTCTCTCCTGGGCTCTCCTTTTTGTGAACTGTAAATGTTTAATAATCCACTGCCAGTTTCATGTGTGAGGCAGGGTTTGTGCTGCTTACCTGGTCCCCCTCTTCACTCACCCACATCTACCTGGAGGCCCAGGACACGGTGTTCCCCCAAACAATCTCTGCTGATTGACTGGGAGATATTACTTTACATTCTTGGAGAACATAGTATGTGCCATGCATCTTGCTAAGTGTTTTACATACATTGTCTCCCTCACTCAGTACTATCTTCCTTGTACAAAGGAAGAAATCAAGGCAAGTCTCCCTCTAAGTGCCTGTCTAGCACCACAGCCCACACCAGTACTGCCCCCTAGAGGTCATTTTGGAAGTTTGCAATTGCTTTCATTGGTTACCACAAAGATAGGATGAAGCGGGTCAGAGGGCCACTGGCATAGGGTTGGGAGAGGCCAGGGACACGGGACCCCCCGCCCATGCACAGAACTTTGCAGCACAGTGATTGCTCGTCTCCCACATGGCTTTCATATGTCAGACTACACATTTGGAGCAGTTAAAATGTGCTTCTAATTACATTAGAACTTTAATTCTGTTACATATAAACACAAAATATGTTTGCACCATTTGAATACACACAGGTGTTGGAACAAATGCAAAAAAGAGTCTGGAGGGCTTGCTAGAAATAAATGCTAAAGATTCACAAGAGTCTTAGAATTTGCAAACTGGAAACACAGGCAAAAATCTAGAAGTCTTTTGAAGAACAAAGAAAAGTTTAGAGTTCTTATAGTAAAAAGGGCATTCTTGAGAACAATCAGCCCTAAATTCTTAGCCCTAAGAGAGAGTTGTACAGGAGAGTTATCAGCGAAACGCCAGGCAGTCTGAATGATGGATGCCAGGTGGTCTGGGAGGTGGGCTCTAGGTGTATATCCAAGCAATGATACAGGACTGGAGAGTTCAAAAGTTTAAGGTCCCAGGCTAGTTAAACCAAGAATAGAATCATTTCCTCATGCCCCAACCTACTTAATTTTAGTCATTAAGCAGCTTGACTATAGTGGCTCTATTTTATTTCTTCACTCTACTCCTTATTTTCCCCTTTTGGTCAAGGTTTGTCTCTCAGAAAACAGCGTAAATCACACAGAATGTTTTAAAGTGACTCGATGCTGAGGTAGCAATGGCTTCTTTGGGTTCATTATGTCCTTCAGCGGGGGAATATGGGCTAGAGACATGCTTTCCATAAATGAGTGTGTAGTCAGCTCAATATGTCTGCCAATATATAAGTTAAAGCATCAGGAAAGGACCAAATAAGACATTATTATTACATATTAGTTTCAGAAATAAGTCTCAATCTTGAGAGTAGGTCAGTTCAGTTCAACAGTTGTACCTCATTTCAGGAGATGATGCAGATGGTTCCCACAGTCAGGTCTGTGGTCTGAGATACCAGCAGTCAGGTATTTAGCCAAATACAAAAGAAAAACAACAGTTAATGACCGAAGCAGACTTGGTCCCAGTTTCTGAGTTCTGAAGGCAGATGTCTGGCCCAAAGCATCTTCAGACAGAGTGGAGGCAGACAGTGACAGTCTGGCTGTGTCTCCTGCTTTGCAGTTTGAATGTCACTGGTGTTCTGCAAGAGGCACAAAGATTGTCCATATCTGAGTGGTTGTGGTGATTTCTCTCAAGTTTATATCAAGTTGTCGCACTGTAGCTTGCATGGCTTTGGGAAAGGGCAGTTTTGATTCTCCTGGTTAAAGGATGGGAGAGAAATTGGAAACATTAGTTTGCAGAGTCATAGCCAGATGCTGGAGGAAACCAGGACTCCTGAGTTCAATTCAGCTGACAGGGAGTAACAAAACCTCAACAGACAATGAAAAATACTAGAATCTAATATCCACAAAGGGTTATTACTGAAACATAATTTTTTATCTGAAATCACCCTCAATTTTACCAAAGATAGCCAAATTAAGACTAATTTGTTTACAAAATGAGTCTCGTTTCAACGAACTTGGCCTGTTATTTACATAGGAGTCACAAGAATAGTAATTAACCATATAGACTCTTTTAAATCTGCTTTGCTGTAATTTTTCATAAGGAATCATCAGGTTGAATTTTATAGACCCCTGGAAACCAGAAATGCCAAAGCAAGGACTTGCCATCAGACTTTGCCTGGAACCCTGATAGATTTGGGTGAGTTCCTCTCTCCTCCAGGCTCCTAAAATATTTTGAGGTTCTTGTACCTGGCTGATAGTGACTCCAATTTCTTTCTTCACTGGATTTTCTGTAAATGCAACTACAATCATATGCCTCACAACAACATTGTGGTCAATGAAGGACTTACTATATACCAGTGGTCCCATAATATTATAATGGAGATGAAAATGTTCTGTCGCCTAGTGACATCATAGCCATCTTTAGGCCTCAGAGTGCATTACACAAATATCTAC